GAAGAAAAAAACAGAACGTGACGCTGTTGATATTTTGCATTTCTATGGCATCCAATGACTATTTTTTTCTTATCAATTGTGCTATCATAAAATGTTGACCTTGTACTAACAGAAAACACCTACACGACATATCGAAAATGCGGTTTACATTGGATATCGTGTAAAAGTAAACTTATTGTTTTACATGGTAATCTTAAAAAGTATAAAGTGACATTAATTGGTATGAGTGTTAGTAATTTGTAAATAGTCGGATTCATATTATATAGATTTAGTATAAATTTTCATAAAAACTGTAGAGAATTCGCTCAAAACGATATACCGTGGTATTGTTTATATCCTGCATTTTATAGACCCAGCCCCGGAAATAAGATGTAAACTTCCTCCATTGCCGTTCCACCACAGTCATTATTTCATTTTCAATGTATATAAAATAATTGTATGTGGAAGAATCAAAACAGTAGTAAAAGCAAATGATCCGCTATAGGTTTTATATGTATTTTTATGGTGAATTGGATTTTTAAATTAACCAATGTATAATTAATATAGGTGTTTATAAACTAACAACACAGAAAAAAAATGCAATTGCATTATATATATGTAGTAATTATAAGAAATTATTGGAATATGATACATTTAGTATTATAAATTATGATAAATTAATAATGAATTAATAAATGATCATAGAATATGTGTTGTTTAATTTCTTTCAGTAATACAATTTGCTGAATAACTGTAATTATATTTTCAATTTTAAAGATTTTTTTTGTAGATAAATTATATGTATACAGTGTATATATTGGAAAAACGTTACCAATCATCAATTCATGATGTTACGTGAAACATTTATATTGATTTCCAAATACTTAACTTTTTAAATTATGAATATAATTTAATATTTTATATTATACAAATAATATAGGGAAGTATCTCGGGAAGTACGTTCACTAGAACCTAGATTTATTGTAAATGCAATTGTTATATGGTTTCTAAAAGGGAAATAGAGTTTGAATAAGCTCGACCTCACCTCTCATTTGATTAACTGTTTATCAAAATCAGGAGGAGCACAAATTCACAATGAGTTTTATCAACATCCGAAATCAGTTAATGTTTTAGCTTGATTAAAATAGGATTTTTTGGTTGTTATGTTTCTCTATAAATTATGCACAATAGGTTAATACTTTTAATTCCTATCCATTTATTCTAATTTATCATATTATAGATATTTTATACTCTTTTGACCAGAAGGATAGCATTTTAAAGTTATTTCAAATTTTTTTAAATAAAATTAAAATAATAATTCAGAAATTTGGTTTTACTACTTTATAAGCAAATTTTAGAAACTTAAACTGTTCCGCTTGACCTCTTTTATTCACAATAGATTTTACGATAGTAATACCTGTATCTCCTCTAGTCTCTGTATTTCACCCAACCATGGAATTATACCAGTTTTAAATTAACGGTTTTAGCAAATAGGTGATATTTGTGATAAATTATACTTTTCAACCAATAGTATTCGAAATATAACAACCATTAATTTGGTTATTATTAGTATAAATAATAATCAAAGTGTTCCGAATCAGAACTTCTGACGCTATTAAAATGTATAATATTATATATATATGTTATAATTAATATTAATTTAGGTAAAATACTACTTGTCTGAGCCGATAATTAAAAATGTGTTTGTTAATGGACGAAAAAATTAATTTTCTTTCATAAATTCAATAACTATTTGTTGTTATTAGTATTTTAAGTATTAAATCCTAAAATATAGATTTATATTAATCCAAATATTTTATTATTTGCGTACAAAATATGTATTTGTTTGTGATTAGTGTAATATATTATACCTGTGTTTATATATAATAATATCTTTATTGCATTAAATAGTATTAATTCATAATAATATTCATTTTATTACTGGTAAAGCCTAAAGTTTCTTTCCAAATTAAATATAATATTTTGAGATGATGGTTTCTATTTTGTAATAATTTTGTTATCTTATTTTTTTCTATGTTGACATTCACGCAAATTATATATTTCGAGTTAAAACTGATTTTGATTATTTTTTTGACGTACAAACTATTTTTCTCATTACTTCTTTGTTTGCTAGAATATCGTGACAATATAATTTTTTAAATTAGTTCTTTGTAGTATATTTTGTACTTGTATTAGTTCCATATTTACCACCAAACAAAACAATTGAATCGATCCCTCGCCATCTTAATGATTCATTGAGTACCTCTATATTATTATGTAATTGTTATGCAGTTAATGTATTCCGAAATACTCTTAGAAAATGTTTTGTATTTATTAAAGTTCAATGTCGTAAAGTACAGTTAAAATAATTATGGTAAAAATATATTAGGATATTATATGACTCTTTAGTGTTAACTGATATTTGGTAAGTATACTAAATATATATATATATGAATGTTTAAACATTTTCTTTACGATACATTATTAATTTTTTATTTATTTATTAATGTTTCTCTATTTTCCTATAACTTTTGAAGTAATTTTAAATAATACTAAAAAATGTAATATTTTTTGTTTTTATTCATAGTTACTCAATATAATTATGAACTATACAAACAAATTAATTATTTAATTTTAAAAACCGGTTTTATCAATCTTCTTATGTTAGTCGATCGACAATTTACTAAAAGTCCATTATCATTCAAGTTACCTATTGTGTTATTTTACTTATCACATAATCCATTGTTTCATAATATCAATAATTAATTAGGAAATTTGTTCCAACACCTTATTAGTTATATTGACGATCTAATTTTTTCATATTTTGTGTTTGTTTTATTGTTCTTTAAATTTAATAAAATCCCTTATTAATTAACAATTGTTTGATTAATTTATGTTCTCTTCATTAGGCGAGTATACCTAGGTAAGGTTACCCATTCACACAAATCGTTGGTATTTAGCTTGCTTGAGAATTCTTAGTTGACCGGTCACTTACGGGTGTGGTAAAGATAAGTTTGTACAAAACCAGTCAAAGCATCCCTATGCTCTTCGTACACCGTTAACATGTTCGATAAAATAATCACCGTTCTTTGGAGACCCCCCCTGGTTAATACAAGATCAGAAACGTTCGAGTATACAAGTACATACAATCCTATCGACAAGACAAGAACGCTTTCGACCGTAAACATATATTCTTACGCGTGCATGCTGTGGTGTGTACATTACAGGCTTAACGCTTGCCCACACCTAATTGTATTTTATTATAATATTTTTTAATATTTCTATATTTAACGCCACTGACGTAGTATATATACTGTTCATTCTTGAAAATTTAAATGCGTATTAAAATGTATACTCGTTACTCGTATATCTATCTATAATTTATACTAACATACCCATGTGTAATCACGATATTTTTTAAATGTAAAAGTGTTGATTACATTTTTCATAGGTTTAATCAATCGTTTTTCAACCACATTTAATATATTGACGTTTAACCTCCTCCTACCAGGAACTGTAACAAATTGGTATACAAGAAAAAAACAAACCAACTTTCTTTATCTAAAAGCAATATCGTGTTAAGTTTTTATACTCTTATATTCGTTACGCCTCATAATGAATTGCTCTGTGATAAAACTCGTGTCGGAAATTATCAGCATATAAATTAATCTGTAGTTATTAGTTGAAATTTTAATTTAAACCGAACTACGTGTAACTCATTTGTGGTTACATTATAATATAAAAGCGGTATATATACCAAACTTATACTGAATATGTGTTGATAGAAATTATAGACAATGACAATGACATTCACGTTTATGCATATGTGTGTAATCATTTTTGTTAGTACGATTTTTCAGTGTGTATTTACATTTATATTGCTAGAAATTATGGAGAACTTATTATGTTTCAGTTGATTTAATTTGAAATAATTGCACCAAATTGATCACCGTGTGTATTATTAGTAATTATAAATTATATATATATAAACATATATTCATACATCGTAAAATACTGCTATTTTTATAAAATAATCACTGAGAAGATTTTAGTCTATGTTTTATAAAATAGTTATTAATTCTGCTTATTACATATTGCATAAGGTAAAAATGAGAAAGAATGTATCAAGGCATTTTGTTTTGGGCGGACATCCCTGTTGATACTCTCTAATAGGATTACCGGGTATATTCGTCAAAAAATTGATGCTATTAGGTTTACGGAACTGAGAATGTATAAACTATGTACAACAAATAATCGTGGATTTGACTGAGTAAATAGTTTTTTTTTTTTTACTAATTATTCTGCTTGTTATCATTTGTTACTTAAATTCGTTTTAAAGTCTAGAAACCTAACGAATTATATTAAAAAAAATTATTGAACACTACATTTAAAGTTTTTTATTATTTTAAATAATTTAAAATTTAGAAGAAATAATATTTATAGAATTAATATTGAATAAGCAAGAATTAATATTTATTATATTAGTTATATTTTTATTATATTAATTATATTTATTATAGAAGTGTTTTGTGTATTGACGTAATTCTAAAATACCTGTTATCAAAAATAATTTTTATTTGTACGATTTTCTCGTATATACTCGTATATACGTATTTTAATAAATTATAATTTTTATTATTTTATTATAAAATAACAATAATGACAATGAACTAGTAAAAATAGCTGAACACATAAAACATATTTGTATTATATTATATTGTTATATTGTGTTAACTTACAATCGGAATTTCTAGTTATATCATATTTTTAAATATCGAATAAACGTTTCGAGAGAATATATGCGTAGGCTTCTGCACCCTAGGGATCATAATAGATTTATTATCCGAATTACCCAGACGTATTTTATGATTCGAAAATTTGATATTGAAGATTGATTTTTTAGGTGTAAATCTAAAAAAAAATATTGACGCCTTTAGTATTGGAATACAAGTGAAAAGGTACTAGGATAAAAAAAAAAAAAAAAACGATATTGATAGATATTTTGCATATTTGTTTTGTAGACTTCCGGGAACATCTCAGCAGATACAAATTCGGTTGCGGATCGTTCGCGGAATCCTATCACCACGACGACATGGACGACCGCGGCGACGACGACGGAAACCACCGCCATCATCACCACCACCATCACTACTACCACCACTGCTACCGCGACCACGGGTGTCGGACATTTATACCGGCAACTGTCTAGGCGGAAGAAGAAGAAGAAAAATTCAGACACCGCGATTTCGTCGTCGTCGCTGCAGCCCTGTCCACCGCCGCAGCCGCAGCCACAACTGCAGCCGTCGATTAATCTGTGCATCCAACCGGCGCTCATTGCCGACGTCATCGATGCGCCGGCGTGGCTGGTCACCGACCAATTCGTCAGCGAGCACGTCGTCCATGAATACGTGTCCGTGGTGCCCGAGCCTGACCACGTAGACCCGATGCCGGTGATGCCGGACCGCTCGCCGCCTTCGCCATCGCCACCGGCTGTTCGCGCGTTGTCAGACTTTTCGACGTCTGCTACAACGGTCGAAAGTCCTTCGGTCGCCACCGCCTCGTTGTGCGCACACGTGAGTATATATTGTTGTAATGCACGTACACAACGGTCAATACGTTATTATTATTATTGTTGTTATCGCGCCATACTGATCACTAAGTCTTGCATACTATTTACAGTGTGTTCTAAAGGTTCCGCAGTCGAATAAGTTATATTTGTTAAGTTGTTTCGTACGAGTTTCGCTGTTTTAGTGGTTAATGAATTGTTTTAAGCTCAGTTTTCGCCCACGGCAAGCAATCGGATCCATAAAAAATTTGCGACCGTTTTAATGAAAACGATTTTTTCAAAAGGTTATTTTTTTTTTTCAAAATTAATCATTTGCTGAAAATATCCACATGCATTATGGTAGAACACCGAAGTTGTTTAGACCTAAAAAGAAAATATTAATTCACAGTTTAAATATAAGGGTGACACGTGGGTCAAACTGTATACATACATATGTATATACTGTTTAATTATATATACGTAATAATAACTTGTAACTTTGATCGTATAATATATAAGACTTATAGAACGTAATAGTAATGGTATATTTTGTGTATTATGTACTGCCGTCGTGCGCGACACCCTGCAGCGATATATTATATTACGTCCCGCCTCAATAAGAAAAGTCTAATCCGAAAAACTATTTTCTATAGGTATATTTTTTCTATGGATAGAAAAAAATGAAATAAAATAAATAGGTACACGTTTTTAACTGTCGTGTCTAATAAGTATTAATAATCGTGAAAGTTTGATACGGGTTGTACTTTTCATGTTATACATGCACTGTTAAGCACTGTTTAGTATTATCTTACGCGTCATTCTTAAATGTGTGTACGTGTACGATATGCTCATATTTTTATTTGTTTATGTATAACTTTTATCAAGCAGTCATTTAAATTGTTATTTTATTTTTCGGAAAAATACTTTAATACTAAAATACGTAAAAGTAGGACGCCGATTTCATGTAAAAACATTTAAATTCGTTAACATTAAAATGTGAATACTTTTACAAAAACATTTCAAACTATTTATTCGAATACATAAAAATAAAAATTGAGTAAGTAATGAGCATTTTTATAAGTGTTTTATATTTTTAATTTTTTTTTTGTGCATATATATTTACGTTTCTAATTTAATGTTACATTCTTAAGAAGCTCAATGTTTGATTAGATACTTTAGATATTTTTTGAGTTACGATGAAAATAAAAATTTGATTATATCGAAAACCTATGTACGTAAATTTTGCTGTTATTTTTTTATAACTTTTCATCAGTTTTTTATATTAAGATAATTGTTGAGGTGTTAAATTATTCTCTCAAAGTATCAACAAGACATTTTCTATCAGGATGATAGGGATGATTGGACCATTAATTCTAGTCGAAATCATGTACTTGGGACACAAAAAGAATTTACACATCGTAGTAAAGCCAATACATTTCGCTTTTCATTCAGTTTAAGGTGGATAACAAATGCGATAAAGAATAATATAGACGAATAACAGATTTTAACAATTTCGATTAATAGATGTGATTAACAATAAACAATATGAAATGACATTATGTATTACTGTTTTTTTCACGTTTAAATGTTTTAGATCGATTATAATTTTATGACATGGTTATTAAAATTTTATGTGTGGCCATGATAAAGGTATCTAAAGTAATAGTGTTATTAATGTAGGAGAAATATTCATATATACTATTATATATTTGTATATACTATTCATACATACTATTATATATTTGTATTGTTCCGTTTTGAATGTTTATCATTCGATCGTCGACTAGATGGTAGGAAGTAAAATTAGGTAAAATTAGTATAAAATTATATTTCTGGTAGTTAGTGTATATATGTGTATACTACGAGCTGGTGTTGTATGCGAATATGTATGCGTATATGATATATACATTTTATATATATTTAAATATGTACTATAGTATGTACACAATATGTATAATAGCTGCTATACATGACTTACGGCTCAGTGACGGCCCAGCTAAAAATATGACTACCACGTGTGCTTTCGACTCAGTCGCCCCATACTGAATACACGGCACTCGTCCTATCGAGAGCACCTCTGTGTTACGGGCCATTAAATATATACGTACCCTCCAGTCGTAGTTTTTGGGGTCATGTGGCCCGACCGTTTTAGAGAAACGTCGCCGTTGACTGCCGGTGGTTATGTTCCGGGCAGTTCTATTTCTGGTACTGTCGAGATCATCGTACGTGCGAGTTAATAACGACGATTGTGTGTTATATGTGCCGTACATAGTAAATGTTATGATATAGTTGGAGCCGATATATTTTATGGTTTTTTCTCCCAAATATTTCTAGACGACGCATGTAAAGACAACGTGTTATTGTATTCACTATTCGCAATTTTTTTTTTTTAAGTTTGAAAAATTTGCATGGAAATCATTGTTATGTCATGCCTTAACAGTGATTTGGTTCTTATAATTTTTCTAGTTAGATTGTATTCGATCACTGCTTATCGGTTTTATAATGTTACGGAAATATTTATTATTTAATATGTTATATTATTAATTATAGATTACATACACGTAAAATATTATGTTTAAAAAATTTCAAAAGTAAAAGATTTGGATATACATGTATATATCGTTTTTATGTGACTTGTTACGTGAGTTATATTACCTACATATATTTTTCCATCAACAGCACTTTCAATTATCTAGTTTATTATTATTTTACAACTATCGATCAAATTTTAAACGATTAAACATTCCCGATGAACGGTGATGGTGGAAATTAAAATCGAGCACGACACAGATTATGAAATTCTCATAACTATTATATCGGATTATTATAATTACGTTTCTATCTTTGGAATTCAATTAATATTATTATTTTATTTTTTCTCGATACACCCAATCAGTTTATACCTTTTAGTGCCTACCAGTTGTAAGTTACGCATCGTAAATCATCTATCTTAATAACTATATCTATAATTTTAAAAAGAGTTCAACAGATGCATAATTGAAGTGTCGAACTTAAAAATAACTTAGTGTTATGAATGTAGTTAACCAAATTCATTTTTATCGATTTTCCCATCTTAGATGTTTTAAATGCATTATGATTTTTCAGATCAATCTATTATTGTTTCTTATATGTGATATTTTGGTTATGGATTTTATTATGGTAATTCATGCCATACCATAAATCTGTATGATATGTCAATATAGTTTTTCATAATTTATATTTTGCATTGTATTTATCAAACCATAATAATTTTACGTAAAAGCATAAAATAAAGTAAGTAATTTATTTATTTCCTTTCATCTATAAATGTGTAATTAGTTAGAAATACTGAACGATGATGATTTACATACGTTTTGAATTAATTATTATTATTTACTTTCACTGAGTATAACATACTCTTGATTGCATAACATGACAGAAAGTATTTATGTATATGTAATAGATTAATACATGTATTAAAACATGTGTTCAAGCTATGGTAAACGGTACAGATCCATTGACTAATTCGCCTACCATGCAACCATGACTCATATAAAAATTAGTATGGTTGTAGTATAATATGTAAGTAAAAACTATACTACTCGTGTTCTGATTACGATCACGTATACGTTTGTGGTGCACCAGCGGTATTATTAATATAATGCCTTAAATAAATGATTTTTTTGTTTTCGTAATTTGAACACGGCAAGATTTTCAGTTTGCAGTTGTGCGTTCTGATTGCATCTACATATGCGCATAATCGTTGTGATTAGCTGAACCTAAGGCGGTCATTAACGATTTGACGCGTAGGCTGAAAAACGCTCATCCTGCGTGTACCACGGTAGTATACATGTTACGTGAGTAAGTGTATATACACCACTTGTAGTGACCACGGCATATGGCGGAGTTATTCGACAAAACGGGTAAAAAAGTCATCAGAGTTTATGTTTGCTTGCGGCAGTGGCCGTACATTTTTTTCTTCTCGATTTTATAAATCATACAACGGGTTTATGATTATTATTACACGATGAATGGTGTACGAGCATCGGATAGCAAGGTCGTTTTTAAGAGGAAGGAGGATACGGCCACTGGACCATTCCGACAAACAATTTATCCCCCAAGGATCTTTGTTTTCTGCTTTTATTTTCCAATCTGAACCACCATTTAGTGATTCTACGTCCCTCTTTACCACATCTTCCCATTTTAAATGGGGTCGTTCAAGAGGTATTTTCCCTACTTGATTATTTGCCAATATTATGTGTAATAAGGGGGTTTTGACTTTGTTAGGCGTGACTAGCTCACTGAATTATCTTCTAATCTGGATTATATTTAAAATGTTTGGATTATGAAAGAGTTATTATCCTTACTTATTATCCATCTAGTAGTTTCCTCGTCTTTTACAGGATCAAAGATCTTTCTTAGTATTTTTCTTTCCAAAACAATCAATTTATTTTCCTCCGTTTTTCTTAATATTTATATTCCTGCTCCGTATGTAATTATTGGCAGTAATAGTGTAATATATAACTGTATTTTTATTTCTCTCGACAGGGACCTTGGTCCCAGTATCTTTACGATTCCGTAAAGACATTTGTTTTCCGATATGATTCTTGTTGTTACTTCCTATTTAGGTTTATTTTTTTGATTTTCTTATCATTTTAATGTTTTATACAACCTATTTTTTAATTTTTTTTTTTTTTTTTTAATTGGGCTTCAGTTTTCCTATCGTACCGCTCACGTTGTATGGGTTACGGCACCCCTAATTACTCGTCGTAGGTATTCAAAGTGTTTAGAAAATAATAATAACGTGCTAGTTCGTGATGGTGTAAACGAAAATGTGAAAAAACTTGGCATTGTTGGGGATACGGTGAAAGGGGGTATCTCCCTCGCGTTTACCATGATCTTCGGTTATTGTCAGATTTGACGTATCACTCGCCGTGTAGCCTTGTCCCACGCATTCGCATGCACTCGATTTACACGATTTATGAGTTCCGCGTGCAAACGATATGTACACAGGCATAGGTAGGTTGATACGGTGTAACGGCGGTAACGTTGAAGTCACTGTGCGCTGTGTCAGTACTTGTGCGGACGTGTATACCTACCCGAGTTTGAAATTGTCACCGCGCAGGTGGAAACGGTGGTAGTGGAAATTGAGAGGATAAAATAATGGTAGTATAAAAACTCGAACCGGATACGTATATTATATGAAATGGGCGCAGCGGCAGTAGTAGGTATATTATATATCCGTAGCGTATTTGTATTATATATTATCCTAGTGTGTATGCACGCGTTTCGATTTCGTTTGAAAAATAGACGGTAAGAAAAAAAAATAAAAAAATAAACAATCGTTAATATTTGAATAATTGATTGTACTTATACTCGTTCACTGCTACTGCTCAGCCGCTGACTGAATAATAATGACGCCAACGTATTTATTAGTACTCGTCGAGGTTAAGTAAATGTTTATAATATAATAATATGTACACTACGTATATATCTATAAGTACATTGTACTTAAATAATCACTGCTATTTGCCGCCGAGGTTCTTGAATGATTCATTCATACTGTACAATCGCACACAATCGTCGATGAGTTGCACCATGATATTCGCATTACCGGTTTTCGTTTATGTTTCTTTCGCGCGTTTAATACTCACTGAGCGCCATTATACTATTGATAACTGTATTTGTCCAACTATTTCCTCATTTGCATATTTCCGTTATTCATAAATTCGTAATGTCGGAGATGTTTGTTTTTGATATATTCGCCGAAATGTTTTCACCTGGTTCGAATATTTAATACTATAACTAACACGCCATACTCATATACACTCATTATTTTAGTGGAAAATGATGTTCAATTTTAATGTTTTTAAGTGATTTTAAAATATTAAGAAATTCTAAATTATCACAATCATAATTTTTAATAATGAAAAATAATAAATAATATGTAGGTAACAGATCATAGCGATCACTGTAAAACTAAATTTGTTAAGTATAGATGTCTGTTTGTACGTATAAGAAGTAAAAATAAATTAAAGTTACTATTTCAACTTATAAGACTTCACATTGTAACTTGCAAGTGGAAATGACTTATGATAATTACTTCCGTTTGAATTGGGTTGCTTATTTATTTTCATGCTTATATTGGTTATAAAACATGATATTTATGTATATTGAGATAATTTAGGTTATTTAATGTATAGGACATTTGTTACGTAAGGATTCTCATTTTTAATTGAACTAACAAAATGTACGATAACTTAAAATTATTATTATATATTATAAAATCGTGTTTTATCTCGGTGTCATAAACACAAGTATCTTTAGTATACGATCTCCTTAGGTATGAGCTTAGGAAAAAAGATTACATTATACTTATAAAGGTACTATTTGTGACCAGTGTTTAGTGATCCTCATACTTAACTCATCCATAGGTCATATTCTGTGCACGGAAATCCTTGACATTTCGACGGATGCGTTTTAGTATTGAACCAGACAACCACGAAAACAATATTACAAACGTTATTAAAATAATATCATCATACACGAAAAATAATATTTTACGTATCGCTTGTGTGTGTAGTCTTTGTATCGTTTAGATACAAACTCCAATAATGTTTGTCCTTAGAAAAGTTACCCATATCTGTCCGGTTGTTTCTATGGACATATTGATAAAACAACATTTGGATTATATGCTGGTCGACAAGAAGCAGCGATAACCTCCCTCCGACCTGCTTATGCTTTATATTGCAACGTAATTCGTGACCATCGCGCGTGGTCCAAATCTCGGGAGAGCTATAGGTCCAAATTCATCCGGGTCGATTAAAGGTTATAACATACACGACAAACGCATTTTATAGGCCAATCGATACTATTGTGTCAACCCACTAACCGGTGATCTTCGACTGAGATACGTAGCGCAATATTATTAAACAAATAGCCCCATAAAACAATGTACAACAATGGAATATTACAAGAACTTCGCGTTAGTTATTCTTCAAGTTAATTTCTTTTTTTTTCTTTTTTTTTTTTTTTATTACACCTGATGCAAATCTTTGTTATTGACCATTCGTGAGAACGGAACTATCCAAGAAGATAAACGTGATCCCTGGTTAAATTGTTTGCATTTTATTACAATCATTTTGTTGTACAGTTATTTGTTTCTGAATGTGACATACTTTTGTTAGTAATTTTTGTTTTTAAATTTATCATGTCCTTAAAATTATGTGCGGTTACAATTTCGTTTACTGGGATAAAAAGCTTAACGCAAGAGATTGTTTGAGTTAATCAGTACGATACAATGGAATACTTAAAACAAGAAAATATTCTTAAATAATTAACTTTATTTCTACATTTTTTTATGAATTACTAAGTTCACAATATTTAGTAATGTACCTATATTATAGCTGTGTGTTTAGTTTTTTAATATAGTATATTTATATATTTATCCATTAACATGTTTGAAGTTTGTTTTTAAGTAAACTACAGCTCATCATTAAATTGTTTTATTAAAAAATATATTTAAATCCCTTAACATTATTTTATTACAATACATTTTTAATTTTAAATAATATTTTTTTTTCAAATATTTATATTATATTGGGTGTACATTTTCTGGTACTAATTTATTATGTATGTTAAATACTGTAGTTGTAAACGCCTTTTAATTAGCGTCGTAGAGACGGAAAACATTGATTTAAAAATCATGAAATAGATTAATTTATGTTTATAAATATATTTGTATGGGTTCAAATACTTAATATTGTAATGACTTACATAAGTTATTATTGTTGAAGTGGTGAATCGTTATTATTGTCACTTTAAATATAAATATAAGTTAATAATGTTGAGTGTATAATTTATTATAATTTTATTTAATTTTGTGAAGGACGTGAATCCTAAAAACTATTTATGGTTCGCAAAATTTATATCATTCTCAATAGTAGAAGTTTTTAATGTTAATATTTACGTAACATATTTTTCTTTAAACAGGAACGTTCTAAAAGTGTAATTAAAAAAAATAGCTTATGTTAATTATTAATTACATTCGTTTGTGTATTCTCTTAAAATTTGCATGTGCAACATGTATATTTTCTTGTCTTTAACTTCCTGTGGATTGTAGATCCTATATTTTTCGAATTACACATTTCATATGCTATAATAAATAGACCAACAATAGTCCCCTATACGAACGTTACCCAAGTGCACCAGTCTTATGAGAAGAATATTACCCCAAGACCACACACACGGTAAAGAAATAAAAGACGACCGAGTGAAGGGAAATAAGTGTACTGTTGGCTTTCTGTTGAAACCAAGGGAGACTGAGTTTGAAAATGGAGAGACTGGTTATGTAAATACACCCTGTGTTTATTTTTTTTCCGCTGGTCATTATTGTTATTAGTGTAATTCAACCAACTCTATTACGCTTGTGAGACTAGCTTAGTAATATTATCCACACTTTAATTGGATAATATCGATCAGAAGACGTAAATAAATGGCTAAAATGAACGACTGTATTAAACCCAACATAAATGTTAAACGTTTACCTAGAAAGCGTTTTCATCTTATAAATTCAAATTGTATTTTATTATTAGTTTATACGATTTAACTATTTAAAATACTATGATCCATAATAAGGCATAGTATCCCGTAGTTAACAAAAAATGACTATAAAAATTCTATATTTTTTCTTATTATATTTTGTCGTATAATACTTTAAAATTTATATTGTTATTTTATTTGTATTATTGTTTATTGAAATATTTACACTATTTGAATAATAAAGTTTATTTTTTTTTTTAGGAACCGGGCCATAGTATCTTTTCTGTTCAACAACTTGTAGACAATTTGATCGGACCGTACTATGTAAATTACAGAGAAACGCGTGCAGTTCTTGTGAGACAAGCAAAACAACTGTTTATCAATGTATACCAATCTGACATAGTTAACTTTCATGAGTGCTTTTGTATACCAGCCAACGAAATCCTTAAAAAAATTTCCGAGATGTGTAGAAGAAATGAGGTATTTATAGTTTATATATATTTATATTTATATTATTTAGTTAAGAAAAAACTTAATAGCACTGTTATTTATGGATATGAAATAAGCATTAGTAAAAATTAATTGTTATTTTATATGCGCTTTTGGTATTTTTCTTATTTTTTCAACTGGAAATAGGAATTCGAGAAATTAATTCAAATGTAAAATGTTACAACAATAAGTAACTCGGACTGTGACTTATTTATAAGACTTATTATTTACTTATTTATATATTTACGATGACTATATGTGTCTTCTGTTCATGTTATTTTTATCTGTTTAATATATTTAAAATGTTCGTGTATACAGTTCACTTTCTGCACCATTTGTTATTTTTACTATTATTATTTCGAGTACTGAGAGAAATGGAGCTAACAACCCTTGGTTGGTTTGATATATTATATTGATGATGAAGATTCTGCATTGATTCTAAAAGGGTTGTTTGTAGGAAAAGTTTACTGTAGCATGAGTGGATAATGGTATTTTTATTCGATTAATGGAATACATGAGTCATGTTGAATTTGTTTTTCAGGCCCTATGACAATGAAACGTATTTCGAATTTCCCACGTTTGCGTGTTGTTGTACAGTCGAGGGAGTAAATTATTATATACACATTTTAGGGTTGGAAAAATGATAATTATAATTTGTGGCTGTCATAATTTAATTAGAACAGTTCTCGTCATTGATCAACACTTGTTTTTTTATCACATTTGAGACAGCGTCTCTTTTTGTAATTTTTCCATAACATTCAAAAATATTAAATTTTATTGGTGCCATAAATCTTTGGTATATTAATGCATTTATTAATATATGTAATTATAGAGTTACATTCGTATATCTTATTATTGTTTTTATAAACATTATCTTTACAATATTATTTTAACAATTTGAACTACAATTATTTTCAACCGTTAATTTTCAACTGGTGCAAAAGTAATAACCTTCAATTTTATTTCAACGATATATTTTTAATTTTTCGTCTACAATTTATACTTATTTAATAGTTTTAAATTGTAATATATTTTTGCTTTGTTTTTTATTTTCATGTAATAATAGTAATTATATTTGTTTAGTATAACCATAAATGTAATGATATAATTTTCTAACTTAAAATTAATTGCAAATTATTTCCATTAACCAAGTAAATTATGTTTTAATTATGCATTAGATTATTAAAAACGTTTATGTGTTATATCAACGTATGTACATGCATGTACCTCGTGTTGCAAATTCAGTTTAATTTTATACAATACGATATCAGAATCATTAAAATATACATATGAATTTATTTTATGAATACTCGTAATAGGTTACAAATAATGTTTGATAATTTACCAAAATTGAAAACATAATAAAATAATATCAGTTTGGTTTAGCTGGTGGTTGTGTAATATGTATACATTGTGCATATATGGCCATACGCTCTCGGTAGTTACATTTTTACTTATATTTTAAGCTTGTGTGTGTTTTCATGAATGAATAAAATCTTAAGGATAAATCAGAATAAACTTCTTCCGTTTTTCATCCCTTACGACTATTTGAAATTGTTTGAATTAATAAATTTAAGGAAACTTGATTCGAGTTGTATTGATCCTTGTTTATAAAATCGTTACTAATATTAAAAAAGTACATTTTATTACTGACATAGTAGGAAATTTTTGATCTATTTAATATACCTTCAGGCTTATATGTCAATATTATCATTTTATTTAACATAATTAAATAACAGTATTACGTATGAATTAACATAATTAAAAATCAACTTTGAAATTTGTTTTTCACGTACAATAGAACAAGATTTGATTAATACCTAGATTGAGTGAACATGTATGATTTTATTTATTGTATTAACGTCATTATTTTAACGAACACCTTACGTTATATAGTGTCGACCAGTCCTTATTGTTTGTATGTGATCGATGGCTGCTTTTTTTCACTACTACAGAGACGAGAACAATAATAATAATAGCAATTATTATTATTATTATGATTACAGCTGAAAGGGCTAGGTTGCGTACAAAAGGAAGACAACACTCTGGTGGTATTTATGTACAAAACATTCAAAGTTATTAAAAAATTATTCGTTTCGGGCAACGTCGGTCATGACCTAATACATTTTTACATTTTTTCCCATGTCTTGTTCCGTCACCAAAGTCTTAACTAATTTAAATCTCGGCTTGGATCAAAACCAAACTTGTTTTCAAAACAGTTTACCATTGTGTTCATCCTCAACCCAACAATAATTTATCTTTAACATGGTTCTAGCCTTCAGTATTATTTCTTTGATAAATATGATGATGCACGAAAAATACCGTTTTATTGTTTACAAATAAAATAATAGTTGTCCAGGTTTGTGGAATAGTTTTATTTTGTTGTTTTAAATAGCTACAAACCGATCATAAGTATCTTACTAAAATTGTTTGTTAAATTAAAACATATTGCCGTAATTTTTTTTTATTAAATTATAGAGTTAAGTTCCTATTAGGGTTTAATTAGTTAAAACGATTCAATTGAAAATATAAACTGTTAAATCAATTAATTTAAAGGTGATTAAACGAGTGTTTTTAATTATTTTGAAACAGATGTTTATTGGTAATCTATAAAAAATATTTTAACGAACACTTAAAATAGTTTTGAGAATAAAAGCTTGTTCAGTTTAATTGTTTTTACTTGAATCTAAAGTGAAAACAAAAAATATATAACGTTCAAATATTTATGATTTCTATAAAAGTTTGTATTCATGATATGATGCAGTGGCAGCCGCATTTTTCTTTCGGTGTTACGCTTAAATTGTGTTTAGCGTAACTATAGTCCTTAAATGAGTTACGACATGATAGATTCATGGATGACCACCCGGGAATACTACAATACAGTTACAGATACATTTAATGTCTTCCAACAATGGACAAACTGACCTTCAGTATTCCCATTAAAACCAGTGACAAATTAATAATAATTAAAAAAACCTTATTATGATGTAAAAAATAATACTTTGTTGTATAACTTATATTTTGTGTATGTAACAAAATAAAAAACTCATATATTGTTATTGATTATTACTTAATTATGTTAATATATGAATATGTAGTGTGAAAAATATTTTTATTTTTCCCAATATTATCGTAAATGTATTGTATACACTTATACAAATAATATAAAAAATAAAGAATAAAAATATCTTAACCCAATTTATCTATTAAAATATTTATTCAAGTAATTGATAACTATAATATATATATAAATAATATACATTATATATTATTGAAATTTAAAATTATTTTGATTCTCATTATTCTATTCAGATAAAAAAGTAATTGTTTATCGTTTAAGATTTATATCAATAGGGAATTATTAAACTAAATGCTATAAAATTATTTCTACTGTGGTTTTATTGTTTAAATTTCGTATGTTCTTGAGAGAATTTATGTTCTGTGAAATAATTTCATTGATTATTTAATTGATTTTTTTATAATCCTAGTATAATATTGGTTCAACAATCAATTAAAAAAATAAATAAATAAATAAATAAATAATAGTAAACTCATTTTTGTAACATTTAAAGAAGTTACATTTAATAGATGATGTATGATTGCTGGTGTGTTAGGTTTCGATACAGAGTTCATTTTACCGCAGTCTCACCACAGGGAATCTTGGCCGGTTCGATATAAGTATGTTGTGATCATGATTGATCGTTTTTTTTATCGTTAAGAAATAACTTTTTAAACAATTGTATATAATATTATGCATGTATATTCATAATCGTTTTGTTTATTTTGCGAATGAAGAATAATTTTTTTAAGATTTAAAAGTGAAAACTTGCACGAATACCCATAGGGGTTAATTTCTTAAAATGGGAAAAAGTTATGAATAAAATCGACAAGCCATATGAAATTCAAAATACCTAAAAACACTTAATTTAAATTATATTTCAATCTAATATCGCGAATGCTCGTTATCGACGTATACGGCGTTATTTTTCCTTCAGGGTATATATTGTGTACAGATATTTTGCAGACGTGTGATTATAAAATGTTGCTTTCCAATGAATGACTGAGAAATGTTTTCAAAACGAGATGGCGTAGATTGTATTTGGTCGTTACTGATGCACTAAACTGGACATCGTGAACCCTGTTGGCGACCACGAATTTTTTTTTCCGGATTCGTATCTGTTTACTTGTATCGCTATAATAGTAACTCTTCCTCCAGTCATATAATAATATTTTTCCAGAGATATTGAGATATCAAGCATAAAGGGCGTACAGTAAATTGTTTCCCTTTCTTTTGGCGAATGTTTCCTCTTTGAAAATTTAGTAATCTTATTTTTTCTAGAAAAATAATAGTACAGTTTATTGAAATTTTTTTTTTTTTGTCTTTTGGACTCGTAAATAAGGCGTACTAAGTAGGCTATTCATCATTTTGTGATAATCACCACGATACTTAGGTTACGCGTTCGAGTTCTTAATGAGTATCTAAGACACGATTACAGAATGTGTGGATGTTGTGACACTAATTTTATTTATTATTAGGTATATATTGGGACGAATCTTGAAGCTTGATACACTTATCGCGTTCTAGGGAAAGTTAACTGATTTCTAGCTATTTTTCTTCGTTCGAATTTAATGAAGGTACAAAATCAACATTAAAAAATAATTTCATATTCCTTATAATAACATAGTATTATTTATTTTATAATATATCACTGGTGAATAAATACTGAAATCAGTTTACGTACTTTGTGATTAAAATCGATCAAAAAATTTGTTTCTCTTTTATATTCTAATGTTATGTACATAAACATTTTAATTTTTGAATATATATCTTTAGCATTTTAATTTTTGAAATTATAGGGTCTACTGAACGTAAGTCAGAACTTTAATTTCTATTAGTTTATTCATTGGCAGTGCTCAAGAAGCCACGATAATTTATTATTGGTGTCAGGACGTTGCCTGGTACTTCCTATTTCCGGCAATTTGCTTCTGTT